AAATTTGATATGACATGTTACCTTGATTGATAGCAAGATGTCAAACCAACCTTGCTTTTGTTGGCTATGTCCTATTTGGTCATGATTTGTAAACCTTTTTTTTATATTGCAAGATCTGATTATTTAGTATTTTTTTGAGGATATTTATGTCTATATTCATAAGAGTTATTAGTCTGTAGATTTCTTTTCTCATTATAAGACTTGGTCTGGTTTTAGAATCAGGTAATACGGATCTCACAAAATAAATTGGGTAGCATTCTCTTCTTTTCTTTTCTATAGGAGTTTGTGAAGAGTTATTATTCAATTTTCTTTAAATATTTTAGTCCAGTTCACCAGAAAAGCCATCTGGGTCTGAGTTTTTGATTACTGATTCATTGTCTTTACTTGTTAAAAGTCTATTTAGATTGTCTATTTCTTCTTTAGTCAGTTTCAGTAGTTTCTGTCTTTCTAGAAATTTGTTCAGTTCAACTAAGTTATCTAACTTGTTGTCATATAGTAGTTTATAGTATTTCTTTATTTTTTTTATTTATTTAAGGTGATTAGTAATGGTCCTCTTTCATTCCTGATTTTAGTAATTGATATCTTCTTTTTTGTGTGTGTAGTCAGCCTAGCAAAAGTTTATCAGTTTTGTTGAGTTCTCTATTGTATTTTATTCCTTATTTCATTAATTTCCATAGTAATCTTTATATTTTATTCCTTCTTCTTACTTTGGATTTACTTTGCTCTTCTTTATGTAATTGCTTAAGGTAAAAGGTCAGATTATTGATTTAAAATATTTCTTCTTTTAATATAAGAGTTTGCAGCAATAAATATCCCTTAAAGCTCTGCTTTAGCTGCATCTCATAAGATTTAGTGTATTGTGTTCTTTTTTTTTCATTCATCCCGATGTAATTTCTGATCTCCCTTTAGATGTCTTCTTCACCTATTGGTTATTAAAGATTGTGTTTTATAATTTCTGCATATTTATGAAGATCCCAAATTTCTTTTTGTTGTTGATTTCTAATTTCACCCCATTATGGTTGAGAAAATACTGTTTACATCTCTAATTTTTTCAGTGCAAGATAATTTTCCATGCGTGAATGAGAATATATATTCCGCTGTTGTTGCATAGAGTGTTCAATAAATGTCTCTTAGGTCTAGCTGGTGCATACTATTGTTTGAATATTTATTTCATTGTTAATCTACTAGTTGTAGAAAAACTAGTTGGTTCTATCCATTAATAAATGTCAGGTATTGAAGTCTGCTGCTATGACTAATGAATTGTACATTACTTCTTCCAGTTCTATCACTCTTGCTTCATGTATTTTGGGACACTCTTCTTAGGTGTATATATGTTAAAATTGTTATTCTGATGAATTAATACTTTTATCAATGTAAAAGATCCATCTTCATCTCTAAAAATATTTTTGATTTAAAACCTATTTTGTCTGTTAGTAGTATAACCACTCCAGCTTTTTAATTTTGTTGTTTTTCTGATATATCTTTTTCCTTCCTTTTATTTTCAATCTATCTTTATGATTGAATCTAAGTTGTATATCCTGTAGAAAGCATATAGTTGCAACTTATTTGACATCTAATATGTCCATCTCTGCCTTTTGACTGGATTATTTAATCCATTCACATTTAATGTTAATATGATATATTTGGAAATATGTCTGCCGTATTACTTTTTGTTTTCTATATGTCTCATTTCTTTTTTCCCCCATCCTCCTTTAATGCTTTTATTTGCATTAAGACAATATTTTCTAGTGTAATATTTTAGTACCTTTAATGATTTTTTCACTATATTTTTAAACTTATTTTTTTAGTAGTTGCACTATGGTGTACATATACATCTTAATTTATCAGCATTTACTTCAGAGTTAGACTAACTTAATTCTAGTGAAAGATAGAAACATCATCCCTGTATAACTTGATCCCCTTTCCCGTTTTTGTGCTATTATTGCTATACATAGTGTCAGGAGCTCAACAGATCCAGGAGAGAGAGCTGAGTTTCTGGGTGTCATAATAGCTGATTAAAACAGCAATGAGCCAAAATGAAAGTAACAGTAAAGCCTTTAATCGATTACTGCAATGGTATAAGCAAAAGTCTAAAACTAGAGAAAGCACCAACTCCTCCATTTCATTTTTCCCTGTGGAGCAGCATACCAGTTGAGTGTCAAATAGATCAGCATAAACATGGAGGTCGTCTCACTGTTGAAGGTGCCCAAACAAAAATCTCCAGCAGTTTTCTGAACTCTGGGGTCAGGAGAACAGTGAAAGGGAAGGGCTAGGAGTGGAAAGTACTGAGTACTTAGTCAGGATGGGAAAAAGTACCTTCAATGTTTTCCTCTCCTCCCCTCATAAGAAGGCTTCAGCAGAGGTACTTGAAGAGAACTTTGGCCAAAGGCCTCAGATAAAGACATCTAGGAAAGAAGGCACCTGGGTTAGGAATGTGAATATGCATAAGATAATGACTGGCCAGAGGGCCTGAGTCCTTGATTGCAACTCCTGTTAAAGACTGTAATGCACTGGTTGTGTACTTAAGTCTTATGTGAAGAGGACAGCTCTCCCCAATGAGGCCTGTCAGGTAAAGCCTTTGCAATTACCTGTGGTTCAGTCTGAAAAATCACACAAATGCTTTTGACTAGGAGGCAGACTCCTCAACTTTACCCCTTGATTTTTCAAGAGTTGAGCAAGAAACAGACTATCCCATCATGGACCCAAATGGGTTAGACTTGGAGAGGTTGTGACAAAAACCGGGTAACTAACCTGAAGTTACAGTAGACTAGGGCCATGATCAAGATCTCTCCAAATTAGATGACCAGGCTTTCCTGGAGGATTGAATATAATTATGAGTCCCAACAGTTACCAAGCCAGGAAAAGACGTCCTGTAGCCCATTAAGGTCTATGTTAGGAAGCCAGGAGGCTTCCTGTTTAAGTTTTTTTGTGTGATTTCTTTTCCCTGGCCTGAGGCATCAATTTAGTCATAGCAGAACTCTGGCCAGTAAATTGAAGCTGACCTGAATGCCTTCCAGGTCTGAGGCAGTGTCATAATAGGGTACACATATAAGAAGTACTATCCCAGAGGGCACATGTGATCTCTCCATTTGGAAACAAAGAATTTGCAATGTTAGGGCACTCCTAACAGGACATACATTAATCAGGCCGTTAGGTTAACAGGGCTCTCAATATGGCCTCCCATCCTGGCCTTCTGCCCTAGGATTTCCTGTCCACTCCATAAAATTCAGCTTAGTCCTTGGTTTCAAATGACCTGATTGAGACAGTCAGCTCCAAACAGTTTTATTTATCTATGATATCAGTTTATTGGCTTCATGACTGTAGATGACATGTGAAGATGTTTTGAGTGGAAAGTGCAGGAGCTGAGGCCATCCTCTGCTGTCTCATAGTTAGCACTGTCAAGTGTGATTATTGGCTCAGCAGTATGAATCTGAAGCACTCACAGCAGCTTGGAAAATGGTACTGGGGGTTTTTCTTCAAAAAGAGGCAAAAGCTTTTAAGAGCACTTGTAAAAATCAAAGATCATTTATGTCTTCTCCCCTTCTCCACACCTCCTTAGACGCTAGGTTTTAGGTTTCTGTTGCTGTTGTTATTATTGGTGTGTTCCGTTTAGTAGTGAAAACTACATTTTTAAAAATATCTCTTATTTTTATCCAGTTTCTTCTCCTAAAAGGGTTATATGCAACAGGAATAAAAGCATTTTTACATAAAGACATTTTTATATAAATATGTTTAAGAATTAGCATAAATCCTAAATTTTTAGAAGATTTTAAAATGGATTTATATAATCTCTTTTCCATTGCTGTTTAATAGCCATCTAATTTTTCGTCTATCTGTGTCTTCAAAAAATTGTCAAAGGCAATGGAAGGCCCTTGCAGGGACCCCAAAGAGACTGAAGTATCAAAAACTGAAAGAAGGATGTATAATTTTAGGAAGAAGACAGACCATCTGGTCAAACATGGCACAAATGCTCTTTTAGGAAATGCTCTTTTTAGAAATGCTCTTTTAGGGAATTACTATATTGAGACCACAGATTCCTCACTTGAGATGTGTAGTCCAGAGTGGGGTTGTCTTGTCCCCTCCCATCAGCCGGCTTAGGCCTGTTCTTTAATTTTCCATTAAAATGTTCCACCATTCCTGTGGCTTGAGGGTTATATGGAACATGGAGCGTCCATCATATGCCCCATGATTGGGCCCACTGATGTGTAGCTTGGGCTTCAAATTCAGGGTGGTTACCAAATACAATGTGCTCGTGAAACCTAAAGAGGAAACAAATGTCTCATGGGGCTTGGATTTGGTGGCCTAAGTCAGTGGAACATATAGAGATGGCTTGGCCAAACCTGAAAAAGTATCATCTGTAGTCATAAACCAGTGAGACCCTCTGGATGGGATGAGAGGACCAATATGAAACTACCTGTCAAGAACGTCCTGGCCTATTGGCTCAGGAATCTGTCCCTGTGCAATGTATTTAGCCTTGCCTAGAATCTGGCAGACAAAACAGGTCTTTCCATGTTGCCCCAGGACTTTTTGAGGACAATGACAGTCCATACATATAGGCGCAGTCTAGGATGGTTTCTGAATTCCCATGGGCCATCTTCTCATGGATCTAGGAGGCTATTAGTTGCACATTTTCTTGCTCTGGGGAAGAGGACAGTTTAGTCTCCACATTTAGTTGACAAATATAGTCTTCTTACTGGTTATATTTCTCTTTTTCAGTGTAGGGACCTCTCTGGTGAGCCTCCACATGGGTAACAGAAAGCTTTTTAGTAGCAGAAATGATTTTTATCCAAATGTATTTTCCCTACATGGTGGTTTGCTTTATATATCAGGTCGAGGCTTGCCAGTGACCCAATCAAATGACCAGGCTATTAGCTCTAGCCCATGAGGCGGGTAGGTTTAAAGTCTTCCACATGCTTCTCTATAATGGCCCTAACTGTAGCAATTCCTGTAAATGCTTATGGGCAAAGGCTAGCAGAGGTGTACATAGACCTTTTCTTTTTTTAATACAGAAACTTGAATTGTAAGCAACTTGAAACCAGCCATGCTGAGGGATGGCATGAGAGAGTGAAAGAGAGGAATGCCTGCCAGCCACACTCTCCCATTCTGTATTCTTCCCCTTCTTCGGCCTCTGCTTCACAGAATCCATGCTCACCTCTTTGTAATCTTTCTCCAGAGCTGCCAAGTCCTCCTGGGCCTCAGAGAACTCCCTTTCCTCCATGCTTTCCACTACGTGCCAGTGTACAAAGGCTTGCTTTGCATACATGAGATTGAACTTATGGTCCAGGTGGGCCCAGGCCTCAGCAATAGTGGTGGAGTTGCTCAGCAGGAACATAGACTGTTGCACGTTGGCCAGGTCTCCACTAGGGACAACAGTGGGGGGCTGGTGGTTGATGCACACCTTAAATCCAGTTGGGCACCAATCTATGAACTGGATTGAGTGCTTGGTCTTGATGGTGCTGATAGCCATGTTGACATCTTTCAGGAAAATGTCCCCCCTGTACAAAATGCAGCAGGCCATGTACTTGCTATGGCAAGGATAACACTTGATCATCTAGTTGGCTGGCCTAAAGCAGGTGATCTTGGGCATGAACAGCTTCTCGTGGTAGGCCTTCTTGACTGAGGTGACCAGGGCATAGGTGGACAGGGAAAAGTGGATGTGGGGGTACATGAGGTTGGTGTATGTAGTTCATATCAACACTAATAATACATTTTGTTGTAGGGAACCGAAGAGACCCACCTGTTTTTAGGCTTGGACAAAAGTCTGTGTAGTGGTGGTTTCAGACCCAAAACCAGAGAGATTTATTGTTTTTCCCCCATCTTTATGCCAGGGATTGTGGGGATCACAGTCACCTGTGCTCTGGTATCTACAAAGGCCCGAGAAGTACAATTCTCTTTGTTTTCCCTTGGCATATGGCCTCTGGCCCTTCCTGGAGACTAAGGAACATTGACCTAACATCTAATCTTGTTTATTTCTGAAAGCTGAGAGGTCTGGGCAGAAGACCCAAAAGACCAGCGGGATCCCCTGCCTGACACGAGGCCCATAGGGGAGGGGTGGAGGAAACAGAAACCTTGTCAATTGCAGGTGCTACTTGCCAGGATTTGGTTATAAATTTTCTGGGATATGGAGAGGCCATGGAGATCCAGGTGGAGCAGCAGACCAGGAAAAACAGCTGTTTCCCAGATGGGATTCCCAGGGACTGCAAGGCAGGCCAGTGTAAGCAAAGCCCAGGCTTTCCTGAAGTGGAGCAGTGCAGGGAAGGCTGTGGCTGCTGTTGTTCTTGTTGTTGCTGCTTGAGTTCGGTTATCCTGGCAGTGGATACTATCAGGGTACTCTGAAGGGATGGAGTTTGTAGTAATGTGCCCCACATCATGCCAATTTCCCATATTAACTTTAGCAGGATTACCTTCAGACAGGTTTTAAATAAGTCTCTAAGATCTTTTCAGGACCATCGGGCAAAATGATCCCAAAGAGCTCTACACTTTTATTTTCCTGAAGTTTTAGAAATTTCCTATACTGCAGGATCTTTAGCTGTGCCAGAGACCTGCTTAGAGTTACTCAGCTCACAGGAACCTCCTGACTACCTCCAGTGCCATTGTTGGAGGGCTACAAGCAGTGGCTGGTAAATTGCTTCCTTAACTTTTTCTGAACCCCTCTGTTGGATCTGTAATCTGACCCACTGGGTGAATTCAGCTGGGGAGTTGTAGGCTAAAGTGAAGGACCAAAGATCCCTCTTGGAACTGAAAAACATATAAACAATCCACTAGCATCCTCCAAGAGTGATCTATGGCTTTTGTTAGCAATTCCCAAGACCCTTGGCAGAATGCCCCATAGGACCCTCAGACTCTTGCAAACAATCTAGAATCCCAATAGAATATTCTGCAGACTCTGCTAGCATCTCATAAATGTATCCTGCAAGATCTTCAAGCTTTTTCTCTCCCAGATTGGCACTATGCTTAATTGACTACCCTGCTCACTGTACCAATTTGTTAGGTGCTCAACTGAGCTGGGAGAGAGCACTAAATTATGATGTTAGGGTAGCTAATTAAAGCAACAAGCCAAACCAAATGTAACAGTGAAATTTTTAATCACTTACTATAATGGTATAAGCAAGAGTCAAAACTGGAGAAAGCACCAACTCCCCCCAATCCATTTTCCTCCATTGGACAGTACACTACTCCAAAGCCATGTGGATCAGCACAGACATGGAAATCATTCTATTCTTGAAGGAGCCCTGAACAAAAGATTCTGGCAGTTCTATGGACTCTGTGGTTGGCGGTAGGGTGAAGGGGAAGAGCCAGGGATGGAAAAGTACTGAGTACTAAGTCAGAGTAGGAAAAAGTATCTTCAAGATTTCCCCTTTCTCCCCTCATTATGAGGCTTTGGCAGAGACACCCAAAAGGGATTTTGGCTGAAGGCCTCAGATAAGGAAATCTAGGTATGATGGCACCTAGGCTAGGAATACAACTATGCATAAGAGTATGACCAGCCAGCAGAACCTGAGTTTTTGACTGCAACTTCCTTTAGAGAATGTAAGGCATTGGCTCTGCACCAAGTCTGATGTGGAGAGGGCAGCCTTCCTTCAGGAGGCCTGCCAGGTAAAGCCTTTTTAATTGCTCTTAGTTGGGCCTGAAAAATCACACAAAATTATTGGTGAGGAGCCAGATTCCTCTGATAGTACATCTAGATATGCTAATACCCAACTGTTTATTGTTATAATTATTACTTTTCATTACTTTATATGATACCATGTCTTTTTTTGTGTGTGTGGTGAGGAAGATTAGCCCTGAGCTAACATCTGTTGCCATTCCTCCTCTTTTTGCGGAGGAATATTGGCCCTGGGCTAACATCCGTGCCCATCTTCCTCTACTTTATATGTGGGACGCCTGCCACAGCATGGCTTGATAAGCAGTGAGTAGGACCGTGTCCTGGATGCGAACCTGCGAAACCAGGGCCGCCAAAACGGAGTATGCGAACTTAACCACTAACCCACTGGGCCGGCTCCTGATACCATGTCTTTTAAGGAAGCTGAGAGAAGAAAGGGGAATGAGTGTATTTGTAGCTTTTTTGTATTAACTTTCTTATTTATTATTTCTGAGTGTCTTCATTTCTTCCTGTGGATTTAAGTTACTATACAATGTCATTTGTTTACTCCAATATAGTCCTGCTCCCACCTGCCTACATTGTGCTATTATTGTCAAATGTATTACATTTCTGTATGTTATAGGCCCAATAATACAATTTTATGCATATTGTTTTATATGATTGCCTTTTAAATCAGTTAAGAAAAGAAGAAATACATTTATACTGTCTTTTATAATTACATAACTACTTTACAAGTGATCTCTGTTTTTATTTTTTTGTTTTATTTGTTTTTATAGATTCAAATTACTTTCTGGCATCACTTGTTTTCAGCCTGAAGATATTTTTTTTATTTTATTATGAAGCTACTAGCAAAACATTTTCTCTGTTTTTGTTTGTCTGGGTATATCTTTATTGTGCCTTCATTTTTGAAAGATAGTTTTGTTGGGTATAACATTTTTGGTATACAGTTTCTTTTACCACTTTGACTAACATCCCACTGTCTTCTGGCCTCCACTGTTTCTGATAAGGGGTCAGATGTTAATCTTATTAGAATTTCCTTGTTAATGAATAGATATTTTTCTTTTACTTCTTTCAAATATCTTTCTCTTTCAACTTTTTAACTATGATGTGTCTTGATGTGGATCTTTTTGTATGTGTGTCCTATTTGGAGTTCATTGAACTTTTAGGATGTGTAGATTAATATTTTTCATCAAATGTGGGAAGTTTTCAGCCACTAGTTCTTTAAATATTTTTCCTGCTCCTTTCTTTATCTCCTGTCTTCTACTCAATTATGCATATATTGTTGTACTTAATGGTCTTCTGCATTTCTCTGAGGTTCTGTTTATTTTTCTGCATTCTCTTTTCTTTCTGTTCTTTCAATTGGACAACCTCCATTGATCTATATTAAAGTTCACTTATTCTTTTCGTCAGTTCAAATCTTTGAGCCCCTTTTGTGAATTATTCATTTCAGTTATTTTATTTTTAAACTCCCAAGTTTCCACTGCTTTTATTTTTTTAATAATTTCTATCTCTTTATTGATATTGTGTATTTGATGAGAAATTATCATAATCCTTTTCTTTCCTCCCTTAAGCATGGTTATGTTTAGTTCTTTGAATAGATTTATAATGGCTGCTTTGAAGTCTTTGCTGCTAAATCTTATGTCTGGATCCTCTTACAGGTAGTTTCTGTTGCCTGCTTTTTTTCTATATATGGGTCTCCCTTTCCTGTTTCTTTGTATGTGTTTCAATTTGGTTGAAAACTGGGTATTTAAAGTAATATATTGAAGCAAATCTAGATACTGATTCCCCTCTCCCACTCAGGCTTGCTTTTGTTGTTGTTTGCTTGTTTATCTATTAAGTGACTTGGCTATCCTATTCTAGTGAAATCTACTTCCCCCATAGAGTGAATATTCTGATGTCTTTATTCAAGGGGGCAGCCTCTTGGATGATAATGGTTTTAGTAGTGTTCTGTTTTACTGGCTCTTTCCCTGATCTCTTTGATAATTTGTCTTTCTTGTTTGGTGTCATTCTCAGCCATTAGGCTCCACTAAAACCCAGCTGATTTCTCTACATGTTTTCAAACATACCCTGGGTCATAAATTGCTCTACAGTCTGATCCAACTACCTCCAGGTTCCTCTGCATAAACAGTTTTTGAGGCCAGTCTTTAAGGTTTATTCTGACCTCAGGAGTTCTATACTCGGCTGTCTATTTCCTTGGTTCTTTCTTGTGACCTTGCTAACCTATGACTTTGCTTGTTGCTACCATAGAGCTACCAGTCTCCTATTAGTTGTTTACCACCAAAATCTCCATGATTTTCAAGGGCACTCTTGGGCTTGATCTTTCTCACACTCTTTTAAAAATAAATTCAATTCCTTTGGGGAACTCTTTGGAGCTATACATTTTTATAGAAGGACTTTCCTCCTGGGCGAAGTCTATGAACCATGGCTCTAGAGTTTGGGGTGGATGTGACAGCCAAGTTTTATGACCAAGGCACCAGAAGAAGTTAGTAGCCACTAGTCTTCTCAGAATGCCTTTCCTGGCATGGATCTTCTAATCTATATCAAGCTTAAGTGAGAGCAATGAGGAACTTACTATTCTTGGCCTGCCCCTGATAGGATAGAGCATCTACCCTACAGGTGGGGCCTGAGTGAAGAAATGGAGCCTCCAACTTCTCAGCCTTATTTGTAAGAAATTTAGTCTCTGGAACTCACAGATGAAGGGGATGTGAAATGCTGGTGGATTGCCCCTTCAAGTGAGAGATCATATCCCTTGACTGGGAGCTGAGGGGAGAGGGAGCTGTGTATTTTCGTTCTACTCCCACCTGGAGCAGAGCTTCCATCATTCTGAGCTGGGATTGGGGGCAAGAGAGAAAGTTACTCATGGCTCAAGTGCCACACACACTCACTATTGTTACTAAGGTTTAGTAGATTTTCTTGAATATGT